GCAATTCGTCATATTGTTCAAGATGGGTTAACTATCTTAAACACTACACAAACACATGTTTCTGAAAATAGACACAAGGTTAATGAGTTGATTGAAAGTGTTCAAGATCTTGGAAATAGACTTCAAACTTTTGCTACGGATTTAGAAAAACAAATTGAAGTTATGGGAAGTTATTTACAAGCTTATTTGCATATGGACATGATAATAGGTGAAATAAAGGACCTTATGAATATAGCCGGGGATTATTTAAACCATTTGCAATTACAACTAAACATGTTGTCCTTAGGACACATGTCACCCAGTCTTATATCACCCGGTAATTTACGAGTATTATTGACTGACATAAAACGACGACTACCGGCGACATTAAAGATACCTGGTGACGAAGTTAAAGATATTTGGAATTTTTATAAATTTTTGACCTGTAGTACAGTTTTGGACGAAAACAAAATAATCATTATCATTACGTTACCATTACTAGATATAAGAGACACTTATGAAATTTATAAGATTCACAACTTGCCTGTTCCTACTACGATAACTGATAAACAATCTGACTCGAGCAATATGGTTGCTCAGTATGAATTAGAAGCAGAAGTTATTGCTGCAAACCAAGAAAAAACTAAATATATGCTGCTAAATACCAATGAAATTGACAAGTGTTCCAATCCTTTAGTTAATTTTTGTGAAATTAAAAGTCCAGTTTATCCAGTTAATTTAAGTAAATTATGTATCATAGCCTTATTTGCCAATAAAGAAAATTGGAAAACAAGATGTACAGTGAAAGTACGACCAAACACAATTTTGCCTATGGCAACTTATTTGACCGATAGTATGTGGGCAGTTACAACCATTAATGAATTTAGAATCACTATTAGATGTGATGACAATACAAACATGTTGACGGATCAGATAATTAATCCTCCTACCACTATAATTAATTTAAAGCGAACTTGTACCGCTACGAGTGATCATTTGACCTTATTACCTACTTATCAAATGGAAAGTACATTTTTAACAGAAAAAACGTTCGAAAGATTCTTAAATACCTTTCAAGTACTGAATACAAGTTTATGGGAACCCTTTCATGCTGCTTTGCCAAATTTTACAAAGCTTGAACTACCAAGAGAACTAAAGGCGATTAAACAAATTCCTATGAACGCTTTGATTGAAAAACTTAGAAATTTAAGGGGAATTGAAAACGATTTTGAATTTCCAAATTGGGGATTAGGTTTATCCCTGGGTTTGGGTGCGATATTCATTGGAATAGCTATATTTTTGTACTGTAAGTTTTTTAGAAACAAATCTTGGTTAGCCAAAAAGAAAGGTGTGAGTTCGGGTTCTAATGCCACGAACGATGGGTACCAAATGGTGACAACGCAAATGGTTGGGACAGAAGTACCTGATTCCAGAGAGAAGATTCCCTCTGCACCATTACTCAAAGACGATGCAAGACCGAAGACCGATGCTACCAGTCTCTTGAGAAAGATGTACCCAGAGCTAGATACGTCGACTACTTCGTAAAAGGACTGGATTGTAAACCATACAACGTAGACGACCGAATCCACTAGCAGAAGACGAACCGTGTAAATAATTTTAAAAGTGACCCTATGAACTGTGTAAATAGAATTGTATAAACATTTGCGTTCCTACCCAGTATTGAGGAACAACTTACTATGATGGTGATGGAAATAAAACATGAACTATGTATACCGAAATATGGAACTTATGATTCGAATGAACTATGTGTAAATATATCCAGCTATTAGACTTGATGAATGTGATGAACTTATTATATCATGATATTGGACTCGTAGAACTTTATAAACTTTAGATATGTGGTGATGGTTACCGGAAACCTTACAATAAACTATTAGAATAACCTACAGGAAGAAAAATACCGTATTTTATTGAACTTTCGTTCTATTTTGGAGGGAAGGCATTATGTAACACAATTGTGTTCCATACGATAATCATCAGGAAGTAACTACATACAGCAAAACCGAGACGATTACATGTAACCTTTAGACACTTAATAACAATCTGTACGAATATTATTGACATATACCCTGCAGCCACTAAATGACCATGTCTACTGTGAAATAACATGTATCCGTCAGGGGTTAATTGCATAGTTTGACAATTAACCACAGACTAGTATTACTCCACAACCAGACTACTACGTAACCGGCCTACAGCTATGGACCGTTTGTATGGACCACTAGACTATATAAGATCTCTCATTTTGGACTTCAGGACACAATTCGATCACACCAGAATTCGTCAGATCTCGGCCAGTGTCTCAGTGAAAAAACATTTATTTGAACTTTTAATCGCTCTTTGAATACTTGTAAATTAAGCAATAAATTCTAATTGACAAGTATTAGTTAACTTAATTGACTTCGCAACATATACCTTGTTTCATATAACTACTATTATGTCGATTTAACTGGCACATCGTTGGACTTTTATTCCCCGAGGAAACCACTAGCACGGTAGCTTGTACAAAACTGTACATGATAGACATTAATAAAAAATTTACGTAAATCGACAGATTAAAATTCCAAATTTGATCTGTGGACCTTAACCCAAAACTAAATAAAAGTCAGTCATGTTTATATCACCAAATAGCATCCCTCTATGAAGTGGCTGCATGATAAATAGACCTTAACCGAAAACTTAACCATTATGAAACACTACATCCCTCACCAATTTAATTGGTCTCGGGGATAACTAAGGAGCATCTCCCTCAAAGTGACCTAGCTAATTTGTACGGATGTTAGTTACTACCCCCGATGTATCCACTAACCAAATATCATCCCTCTATGACTTGTAGTTGCTGAGATATGGACCTTTTCCGAAAACTTAACAATTGTCATTCATGCGGAAAATATAGGTCACAGTTACATAATTTTGGTATGGATGTTGGTTACTACATACGATGTATCCACTGAACAAGTCCATCTCTATGCCTTGTAGTTGCTGAGTTATGAACCTTAACCGAAAACTACACCATGACGTACGTACGTACGAACGAACGGACGAAACACTATATGCCCTGCTCGGCTGCGTTGGGCTCGGGAATAACTAAGGTGCATCTCCCTTTTGCAAAATTTTGTCTTCAACTGAATTTGACTTTTCAGTTAATTATACCACTTTATAATAACTGTGAAGCTAGTCCTCGACATCATCCTGCAGTGAAGCTATTCTGCAATAATTCTCTCCTTCAATAATAAAAGTGCGTTTAAAAAGCCCTAAAGTATTATATATAATTGTGAACCTCTTATACCAATAAGCTTTCGAATGGCGTATAAGGTATCTCTGTAATTAGTGGATGAAGGGTCGCAGCAGTCCATTCCATTATACAAAATAGACTATATTCTTAATTTTCACGCGTATTTTGGTATTAAGGTCCTCCGTAACTCCTCTAGGATCGGTATTGTGGCACATATTATCTATATACCTTTTGTTCCCCTATACTATGATCAATAAGCTTTCGAATGGCGTATCAGGTATCTCGGTAAATTATTGAATGAAGGGTCGCAGTTGAGTCCATCCCATTTTTCAAAATAGGCTATTTCTTAATTTTTACGCATATTTTGGCTTTTAGGTCCTCCGTAATCGACAGTGTGGCACATATTGACAAGTTATATCTGTTATCAGCGGATGAAGGGTCCTTCAAAAATAAAAAAAATCCAATGTATAGTTTTTTTTCAATTTTCATACATGTTTTGGTATTCAGGTCCTCCATAACATAAACATTATTTTTTTAAGACTCTGAAACTTGTATTAATGGTCATAATTATATGCTACAATAATCGAGAAAACATAAATTGCCATCACTTGCCGGACAACAGTTTATGGTTCCCGTCTATGTGCCATAATGAATTTGGAGCTCAGTGGAACCAGAGATATATGATATTATATGTCTCTGGTGGAACCCTTTGTGTTCGCCGTTTAATGTTTCGTCTGCCTTTTGATCTCATTCCACAACCAAATGGGTCAACTGCGTTACATGCTTGTCGGACTCTTCTCCTTTGAACGGATATCTCTTGATCTAGCTTTGAGTCTCCATAAACTGAGTTTGATCCTATGTTTCTGTTGGCGTCTCAGTATATTATCTTTACTTTATCATTCAGGTCCTCATCTTATATACTGGTGTACTTCCCCTCACGTAATTTGATGTTAGAAGATCTACAAAACCACAGTTATCGACAAATACTATAGACATGATAATAACAAAAGTTAATGTCAGGAGTCAAGTTTAAATCAACAGTCTTTAGCCACAGGCACTTGTCTCAGAAAAAAATGTCCTATATACATTAATATAACATTAAGGTATATAGGGGAAAAAAATTCCGAGACAAGTGCCTGTGTCTTTAGCAACCAATATTTATAAGTGGAAAAGTGATAAGCCCAGTGGCGGATCCAGAACTTTTTGTAAGGGGGGCCCGCTGACTGACCTAAGGGGGGGCCGCTCCAGTCACGCTTCAGTGATTCCCTATATAATCAACCAAATTTTTCCCACGAAAGTGGGGGCCCGGGCCCCCATGCCCATCCCCCCCACCCCTGGATCCACCTATGTAAGCAACCCTGGTTTTATCAATATCATTTTTGGCCTCATCCCTTATTGATTATACTAACCCTCTATGGATCCATAGAGGGTCAGGTGTAAACCATATAATTTATATTATGCCGCTTGGGTCCGCTTGTATGAAACATATGCCGGTTTCTTTTATCTGGAACATAATGATATTGTTACTATAATAGTCCCAGCTTTTATATTGTATTGTATCGCTGTTTGAAAGCTCTACAGAGCTGATGATATCTGTCTCCATTTGTACCGACTTTAAATAAAATTTCCGTATGCATATACGAAGGGGTGGAGTCGACAGGACCCTGATTCCACCTACTCTCCCTATCAAAGATTTTGAACTTTGGCGCTAATAACTTTTGAAGAGTTGTCTTTCCCATTTGTTTACAGATGGCGTAGTGTTCGGTTTTGTACGTCAATGGCTGTTTATCATAGAAGCGATGTCTTCGAAGAATCATGTGTCGAAAAAAACTATGCAAACACGAAACATATGTATTCTTATATGAAAAAAGGTAAGCACATAATTTAAATGATAGTTTTTTTCATTTGTGCATGTATTTGAATGTTGCAAAAATCACTCAAATGACATTTATTTAATATTGATTGCTGAAGTCAAGATATCGATCGCCAGAAAATTTATGTTTTGCTGAATATTTCACTATTTGCATCAGTCTTTTTGGGCTGAAATGGAAAGTTAGATTATTTTTTATGAAGCAGGGAGATTTTTAATCGTTCCTTCAAGGTTAGTATGTTTCATTCATTATTGAAAATGTGGATAAGATAAGCCGGTGTTGGATAATTTTACAGTGTACATTAATAATTATTTCTTCGGCTTTAAAATTGAATACTATCGCACTTGTATTCAGGTCGAAAAGGAAGCATACTATATATATATATATTTACTATATAAAAAAAGTTGTGATATAAGCATGTTCCAAAACAGAACGGTGCAAGTTAAACTAATGAAATCTTGAACAGTCTTACTCTTTGCCTTTGGACATCTGGGACTACTTCATGTATATAATATACATGTAGTCCCAGTGGACATGGTGTAAGGTTGATCCATGTAATGTCTCTGGTGAACTGTTCTGATCCCGAGACTGTCTTGCATCCCCTTAGGACAATATGTTTCAGAGTCGAATTGCTGTTGGAAAGAATGTGTGTATATATGTTGAATATACATGTACAGGTATTTAGAAGTCAAATATACTTTCGGTTTTCTCAGTGTTTTTCCTTTTAAAAGGTAAACAATTGAAATTAGAATTTGCTTATTTACTGTGCCAATGACAGCTATCAAAACATTACATTTGATTGAAAAGTACCAATTCGAGGATTGTTTGTCAATTGTATCCCAGAAAGTTGAAGCCAGTCAAGCTTGACATACTATTCTATAGATATAAGAAGATGTGGTTTGAGTGCTAATGAGACAACTCTCCATCCAAGTCAAAATTTATAAACATGATAAAAGTAAACCAATATAGGTCAAAGTACGGTCTTCAACACAGAGCCTTGGCTCACACCAAACAGCAAGCTATAATTCTATGTCCTGATGAAAAGATTTGCTGTTTGCAAATATCCTCAATCCTGTAAAAATTATTTTAAAACAATTTGAACCTTTTAATACATTTCTGTTGGAGAGAATAATTTTGTTATCACTTAAATGTAAAAGCTTTTAATCAAATCAATATATATGCTCTAGATATTACACTGAATTAATTGGAAAGAAACACTATATTCTTTCTATTTCATAATCTTCCTCCTGTGAATAGGAGCACCTGAGCACATTAGCTATAATTGATTTCTAATTACATGTATGCTGGGGTTATGACATTCATTAATAAAAAGAAGTAAACTAGTGTGAATAAAACAATAAAATGGCATTGCTTTAGAAAGATATTTATTTAATTAATGATAAATATTTATATACTTAGGCCAAAAAAAAATATATGTCTGTTTAAGGTTACATGCTTAAAAAAAATAGGCTAGGTAGGTCGGTATTTCCATTTTATTTTATTTTTTGTGACATAATTTTGTGTCATGCCGTTTCGTCTTGTTGTGGTCCGAGTTGTTCATGGGCAGAGTTTACCTGAATTTTTAATGATTGGATTATTTCCCTTTCTTATTGGTTGGAAAAAAATGGCGGCAAAGTAGTTATTTCATCACACGAGTCGTGAATTTCATTAAAACAGCTATCGTATTCACGATTGTGAACATTGGGATGTATCAGACAATTAATTTATATTATCGGCAACACTTACTTCACTTTTGACGCGAGTTCAGTTTATTTTTCACTTTACGACGGAAATAAAATGACTTAGGATCGGCGCTCAAAAATAGGGATGGTCGGGTAACCGTAAACAGACATATATTTTTTTTGGCCTTAACAAATACAAAAGTGATTATTTTTAGGAAACTGGGTGGTATATGTATACATGTATGTTATAGTATATAAAAAAAATCCCAACACTAAAATTGGACCAAAAAAGTTCATACGCGTTATGACCTGACATTTTTTTCTTCAATGCAGGTCATGACATTGCATTTTCAGTTTCAGAGGTTGACAGGTATGAAACCAATCTCGAGTACATAAAATTACATACATGTAAAATCAGTATGCTATTGCAACAATAATGACTTACCACATATTAATACTGCAGACACTTTGATAAAATTAACACATTGATTTACATGTTATTGAGCACACTAATAAATGTATTGGAATATCAATTTAGTGTTGTTTATAATAAATATTATATATATAATACATGTACATGTTCATGTTAAAATCAAATGTTCATTTTTTTTTTTTTTTACATGTTATATAAATAGCATAACCTTGATAACTTGGAATATTAATTCATGTAATTATTTATATTAAAAAAAAAGATTTTGCCCCCTCTGACCACAGGTTTCATGTTTGCATGTACATTATGACCTGTAAATAAGTTAAACTCATCATACATTGTAGATACCTATTTCGTCTACAAAAGACTTATCAGTGACACTCGATACAAACAAATTAAAAGGTTAAAAAAAAGTATTAAGTTGGAAAGCATTGAGGACTCAAAATTCAGAAAGTAACTGACACTACATGTACATTGAATATTTCATATGAATTATTAATTGATATTCTGATTTGATTGCAGCCGTAATGTATACATGTACATGTATATGTAACACTATTCAATATTTTCAGATGAACACTTTATTCACTGAGAAGGTATACGTAAAGTTGACAGTTTTGAAAGAGATGATATTAGGTAAAGGGTAATAACAATCAAGGCCAGTTTGACGTCACCATGTCAGATACAGCTTCTACACCACAAAGACTATTTTGTCCCCGTCTAATAGATTACATTACTATTGTAAGCAGCCATCATCCAAATCAAAACAACAATGTGGCTCAAACACCAGAGTTACTAAGGAGATATCCTCTAGAAGATCACAAAGATTTTGCCTTGCCATCTGATATTATTTTCTTTTGCCAGCCAGAAGGATGCATAAGTGTTGGTCCAAAACGAATGAGTCTACGGGAGACCACATCTTTTGTTTTTACATTAACAGAAAAAGATTCTGGAATAATCAGATATGGTATTTGTGTGAACTTTTTCCGACCTTTTGAAAAGAAGTGTCATGAAAAATGGAAAAGTGACAATAGGACTAGTACAGATGGCAATGGCAATTCATTGACTATTGACCATGAAAAAAGTAAACAAAAGTCTCCGAAAAGTAGTCGTAAAATGAAAACTGCATCAATGGTGCGGAACAATGTTTTAACTTCACTATGCATAGTTAGTCATCATCCATTTTTTTCTACGTTTCGTGAATGTCTTTTCATATTACGTCGACTCGTTGATGCATGCCATGAAAGAACATGTTCCAAAAGAATTGGTGTTTCATCTGCTAGAGATAAATCAAGGTAAGTCAGGGTTTTGCACATTGTTATAATGGTACATTGACACTACAGTGACCTGTATTTACTCACATCTTTGTACTTTGGTGTACAGATAGTTGTTTCTTTGGATCACACTACATTGTACCAGGGCTTCCAAAATATATTTGAGCCAGCCAGACATTTTATGTCTTATCCCGATTTTAATCCCTTAAGACTTAGTAACAAAAGGCAATTATGGTAATCAGTTGGCCATCATGTAACCACTGATTGACATTAAAACGATATTAAACTTTACTTTAATATAAATTCGATGTTCTGACTTAAACTGTTAAATTGACAGTGCATTATTTGAAGTGTGAAACATCAGTGACTAAAATCTGCCTTAGACTCTTCATTTGTGCAAAATAATGTTGTCAAAAACTTTACTTTCGTTTTTAAAAAGCACATTTTCCTAATACCGGATGTTGACTAGACAATGGTAAAACATGGAACAGAGACGGACACGTAAAATTCGTGTATGTTTACAAAGCACGATTGAGTTTAAGTAGCTCTTTCCACGTTATTTCTTCAATACTCGAAATGAACGTTAGATAAAGGTTTCAATGATAATTTTAGCATTTTTGAAGAATTAGGATGCATAATTAAATTTCCCATCTGCACAGGCGCACACGTGTACTAGTTCAACGTGTTCTGGCTTGCCAACGTTTTTTAATATTTAAGATTTAACTGTCATGACTGTTGAACATGGAGAAATATCATATTGCACTAGTTTGGTGGTGGAATCTGTTTCTCTAATGATTTTAGACTATATACATGTATAGACAAAAATTTTTTTTTACAATGATCTTCAAAAAGATGTGTTCTTTATAAAATTATATTTGACAGCATCAGACATTAGACATGGTCACTTTTGTTATGACCTCACAATATGAAATTCACAGAAAGTAAGAAAATTTGACATCATAATTGAATTTTGACCAATGAAGAACTAAGATCAAACGAACCACATATAAAAATAATCGACTGAACGGTTAAGAATAAGAGAAAAAAAATAATCATCTGGTCATGGAAAGTATATGAATCAGCTATTAAGAAATAGAGAAATGTTAGTCATGTTTATATCAAAAATTGATAATTTATGTTTGAATAATTTTTTTTTAAAGAATTCCCCAAAAAGTTGTAACAAAATTTGTGAGAAAGAGTAGTTATTAATTGGACTGGAGACTCATGCATGTAAACAATAAACTCAATTGAGATTATTTGTTGAGGCAAAATTTACTAAGTTCATGAAGGACTTGTTTCATAAAAGTTTTGAGTACGTTGTATACATTATAAGCATAAGCTTCCGATGTAATCAAGAATATACATTCGTATACCACTAAATTGATTGAATTTTGTTCTTTCTAACAAGATTAGAATTGACATTTCATGTCATCTAACATGTCTACTATTGATTAGAAATGCTGTCTAAATTGAGTGTCTTTGCAGTGAGTCCTAAATTAAAAATCCTTACTGAATTTTCAAATACATTTGTTAGTTTTTTATTTTTGAATAATTTACACTATTTCATTATGGTACAAAGTATTTCATCATGCAGTATACTGTCATGACTGTTGAACATGAACAAAATAGTCCTTTAATAAATCTTGGTGTAACACCATTTTTGTATCAGTTGCATTGAAACTTTCATGTACCAAAAATTTAATTATTTGACTTGCAAAGAAATCATATGCATGGTTAAACAATAATTTGAATTAATGTTTGTTTTGGAGAGAAAGAAAAGCAGTATTCTGATAATTCAGTCAAGTGATTGGTATTCCTTTGAGGGTTAACAGTGCCACTCATCATTTTGCTTATCACAGATTTATTCATTTACTGTACACAGTTTATACAATGTCAATATGAATGAACCTTAACTTCTTACATTCTTAATTATATAAAGACCCAACAAAAATCACTTGATAGATTTTTATCTTGCGACTCCTGCAACAAAATTCTCAAAGGTGAGACATAATGCTCGTTTTAAAGTCCTAGTCATGCTCATGTGGGGGTAAAGTTTACTAAGGATCAATGACTTTGTACATGTACACTGTAGCTTCTAAAATTAACTTTTTCCCCTTATTTTCTTTATTTTACCGATAAATGGCCTTAGTTCACATCTAAATACATTGTACAATCTAGGGTTAAAGTTTTAACAATATCAATAACATTTTTCAATCCATCATGGAATTTCAGGAAACTTTTACACAATGTTCGTAACCATAAAGAGTAAATACAACACCTAGAACATCATGTACATTGTACATTTATGCCACGTCTGCTGTTAACTTGAAAGAAAACTATACTCCTCAGTTCTCAAGTTGAACATTGTCATAGTAAATAAACTCATTGTAGATACCAGGATCAAAATTTTGTATGCCAGATGCGTGTTTTGTCTAGATAAAGGACCCATCAGTGATGCTGAAATCAAAAAAGTTCAAAAGCCTTAAAGGCCAAATAAAGTACGAAATTGAAGATCATTGAGGACCCAAAATTCCAAAAGGTTATAAGTATTATGCAGCATATTCATGAAAATAGGTACAATATTGTATTGCACTTTACAATTGGCCCTCCCATTTTTTTAGTGAAAAAACATATTATACATGTACCTATATATATATATATGTACATGCATGCAACATGTGCAATGAACAAATGTACAAACAAGAAGTACATTGTGTGTGTACAAATGTATAATGCAGCTTGACATAGACATGCATGTTGTGGATAATAATCCTGCCCTATGTGTTGTTTTATGGGTATTTTAACTTCTCTGGTTAAATCCAAGTCATGTTGTGACGAGTGTTACATTTTGGGCTCGCCAAAATTGTTATGGTCAATATCTCCTGAATAGTGAATGCACATTAGTTGTACTCATAGTATTGTTGGAATCTTGACCAAATTTTAAAGCAGGGTTTTTAGACTCAAAAATAAAAACCCTACATGTGGGCCTATCAGAATAATCATTGCATAACACTTTTTTGCATAGAACTATGAAATCTGTACTAATAGCGTTTTATTTTTGTATAATATGTACCATCATCATTGATCATGATAGAAAATATTATATTACATGTTGTGTAGGTTGAACTTTTGACATTATATGGTAATGACAGTGTTATTGTCTTTGAAAAGCTCCAAAAGGAATTCTGATTGCTTTTTTTTGACAATCTGACAATTTTGATTTAATTTCATTCTGAAATGTGTCTGAAGTATGAAAAGGATGGTAAGACTAGAAAAAATGACATTTGTTATTGGATTAGGTTAGAAATTTGTAGCCTGTAGACATTGTAAATTGCTATAGAAGGAAAGTGGGATCTGCTTGTTTGCACTTGGAGTCTGAAATTGATTCAGTAACAGTCAATATTATTTATCATGTTTATGGCAACTCCAAATTAATTTGTGTGCACAACTATCAACAGGAGTTTTTAATACTCCAGTGTAAATGGTGTATACACAGAGAATCATTTAAAAACATCATAAAAACTACATTTTATTATCATGCTTATGTACATATATGCAAGGTTGGCAAAAAAGCGGTCAATACTAGTATTGACCATGCCGGCGGTAAATACCGGTAAATACCGGGAAATACTGGCAAATACTGGTCAATACTGGCAAATACTGGTCAATTTAAATTTTGATAGGACTTTACTATAAAACTAGCCCCTACCTCAGGTCAATTACTTGGTAAATGGATAGATATAGTCACAAGGCAGAAAGTCACTTATTTACTACATTGTAATAAGACAAAAAATCACAATTAATTAGTTCATGAACATGGTTTAATGAAGATTTATCAAATATTAATTTAATCATACAACAGATATAGTCATTAACACCATGAAGTCAGTCACTTAAGAGAGACTATATAACATCTGATTTTCTTAACAGTTATTTTGAAAGATATATATGCAATTAAAAAATTTTAAAAAATTGTTTTATATATATATTTGTTATATATTTATTAAAAAAAACATTTCCTGCATTTAGAACATTTTTTATCATGCTGTTGAATAGTCAGGAATTAATTCATTGTTTAAAACAATCTTTAGAAATCACTTTTATGACTTTTTTCCTGTTATGTCAACATTTATTAGGAGACAGTTGTTAAAGTAATTAAACTTTTGACACCTGTTAGCCATATAATAGGTAATGTTCTGATAATCTATATTGCTAGTCACTTGTAATTCTATTTACCTGTAAAATTCAAACCTTTTCAAGAAAAAAATATCTTGATTTTTACATGTTGAATAACTGATATACGGTAGCTGCTCAATTTTATATGTATACCAAAAGTATGCAATATCATTACCCCTAAGAACTAAATTAGTCATTTTTAATGTTTTAATAATTAATAACATACCAATATCATTCATTTTTATAAATTGAATCATGCCAAAGGAATAAAGTTTTCCCTCATCAACCATTTTTTTACTAGAATTGATAGATAAGTCAGTCAAAAGAAGCATGAAAATTTCAATTGACCAGTATTTGCCAGTATTGACCACTTGGGGAGTATTGTCCGGGGCGGTAAATACCGGTAAATACCACTGGTAAATACCGGGGGTGGTAAATACCGCCCAACCTTGCATATATGTATGTTTTTGTATACTATATCAATGCTTGGAGTCTATTACATGTAGAGACTAAGATGGATATGCATGTGAATGTACATGTACATTATTTAGGTTACTGTTGTCAAATTTGTACATGTACATCTTAAGCTTCCATTGTTAATAGGAAACACTGTTACTCAATATTCTTTTGAAGATTTCTTTCAAATTTTCAGTCAAATATGTTAAAAAACAGTTTATTTCCTAGAATTCCTAGATTTTTGGTGATTTTTATACGACCGCAAAAAAATTTTTGTGGTCGTATATTGGTATGGCGTCGTCGTCGTCCGGCGTCGTCGTCCGAAGACACATTAGTTTTCGCACTCTAACTTTAGTTTAAGTGAATGGATCTCAACGAAATTTTACCATAAGGTTCAATACCACAAAAGAAAGGTGGGGATTGATTTTGAGGGTTATGGTACCAACAGTTAAGGAATTAATGGGCAAAAAGGGGCCAAAAATAAGCATTTTTGTAACTTCCAGACATAACTTGTGTGTAAGTGTATGGATCTCTCTGACATTGTACCGCAAGGTTCTATATCACAAAGGGAATGCTGGGATTGATTTTGGGGGTAATTGCCTCCAAATTTTAGGAATTAGGGGCCAAAAAGGGGCAAAAAACAAGCATTTTTCTAGTTTCATGACAATAACTTGTGTGTAAGTGTATGGATCTCTCTAACATTGTATTCCAAGGTTCCATATCACAAAGGGAATGCTGGGATTGATTTTGGGGGTAATTGCCTCAAAATTTTAGGAATTAGGGGCCATAAAGGGGTAAAAAACAAGCATTTTTCTAGTTTCATGACAATAACTTGTGTGTAAGTGTACGGATCTTTATGAAATTGTACTACAAGGTTCCATATCACAAAGGGAAAGCTGGAATTGAGTTTGGGGGTAATTGCCCTAAACGTTTAGGAATTTGGGGCCAAAAAGGGGCAAAAAATAAGCATTTTTCTCGTTTCCAGACAATAACTTGTGTTCATGTGTGTGGATCTCTCTGAAATTGTACTGCAAGGTACCATACCACAAAGGAAAGGCTGGGATTGATTTTTGAGGTAATTCCCTCAAAATTTTAGTAATTAGGGGCCATAAAAGGGCAAAAAAACAAGCATTTTTCTATTTTCAGGACAATAACTTGTGTGTAAGTGTATGGATCTTTATGAAATTGTACTGTAAGGTTCCATATCACAAAGGGAAAGCTGGGTTTAAGTTTGGGGGTAATTGCCCTAAACGTTTAGGAATTTGGGGCTAAAAAGGGGCCAAAAAACAAGCATTTTTCTAGTTTCCAGACAATAACTTGTGTTCAAGTGAATGGATCTCTCTGAAATTGTACTGCAAGGTACCATACCACAAAGGGAAAGCTGGGATTGAGTTTGGGGGTGATGAATCATAAGGGGGTTAAACAAATTTGGGGGGGGGGGGGAGGGCTTTTTTTTCTTTAAAATTTTCCATTTTAAATTGGTTATTTCTGATTTATATATAAAAGCAAATAATAATGATATGGTTTGAATAGGTAAATTAAATTTTTTTAAGTTCTTAGACCACATTCATTCTGTGTCAGAAACCTATGCTGTGTCAAATATTTAATTACAATCCAAATTCAGTGCTGTATCAAGCTTGAATGTTGTGTCCATACTTGCCCCACCTGTTCAGGGTTCGACCTCTGTGGTCGTATCAAGCTGCGCCCCAGCGGAGCATTTTATTTTTTCTGCTGTCATCATTGGCAAAAGAGCTGGTTCTGAACTCATTCTCTTACAGTTCTTACTTGACATTTACAAGTTTTTATTTTTTTATCCTGGTGTACTTGAATCTCCCCCCTCCCTTGTTGAACAGCTATATTTACTGGTTGACTCTAGATCTCTGGACTATTGAATACATTTGTTTAACAGACATGTACTTTTGTACATACATGTAGATCTACAAATTGTGAGCCTTGCTGAGAGAACTGTAAACATGGATATTTATGCAATTTCCTTGCACAGATGTTTCACATGGATGTATACATGGATAAATTCAAGCTTAAACAATAATGTCTCCCTGTTCATCAATATCATTGCTTTCTAACATAAAAACCATTCATGCCTGGGGAAATTTTTGCACATTTTACATGGTTGGGAAAATAACAGTACCCCAGCACAAAATTTCCACATTTACAGTACTTCAAGGGCATATACATTGCAGGTAATTAAGATTAATGTCATTTTTATACGTCTGCAAAATTTTTGCAGCCATATAATGGTATGGCGATGTCATCGTCAGCATCATTGTGTCTGAAGAATATTTGGTTTCCAGACAATAACTTGAGTATACTCTAAGTGTATGGATCTCTATGAAATTGTACCACAAGGTTCCATACCACAAATAGAAGGTTGGAATTGATTTTGGGGGTTATTTTCTAACTGTTTAGGAATTAAAGGCAAAAAAACAAAAATTTTCCTTGTTTCAGGACAGTAACTTGTGTATAAGTGTATGGATCTCTATGAAACTGTACCACAAGATTCCATACCAAAAAAGGAAGGTTTGGGTTAATTTTTGGGGTTATGGTCCTAACAGTTTAGGAATTAGGGGCCAAAAATAATACTTTTCTAATACTTTGTATAAATTGCTTATTTCTTGACAAATTTCAATGGGGTTTTTAATTCAAAGTCTTGAATTCTTAGGGTTCTTTAATATGCTTAATCTAACCGTGTATTAGATTTTGGATTTTGGGCCTCATATTTTAATTGGTCCACATTTACATGTAGGTCCAAAGGGTCCACAAAATTAAACTTTGGTTGATTTCGTCAAAAATTGAATTATTGGGGTTCTTTGATATGCTAAATCTAACCATATATGTAGATTATTAATCTTGGGCCCCGTTTCAAATTTTTCCACATTAAGGTCCAAAGGGTCCAAAATTAAAACTTTGTTTGATTACAACAAAAATTGAATTCTTAGGGTTCTTTGACATGTTTGATTAGGTTGATATGCTGAATCTAACTGTGCATTCAGATTTTGTATTTGGGGCCGGTTATCAAATTGGTCCACATTTGGGTCCAAAGGGTCCAAAATTAAACTTTTTTTGTTTGATTTCATCAAAAATTTTATTCTTGGGGTTGGTTGATATGCTGAATCATGTATTTCAATTTTGGATATTGGATCATAATAGGTAAATGTCCTATTTCAAATTTTTAAGACCACATTCATTCTGTGTCAGAAACTTATGCTGTGTCAAATATTTAATCACAATCCAAATTCAAAGCTGTATCAAGCTTGAATGTTGTGTCCATACATGGACTTACCCCAACTGTTCAGGGTTCGACCTCTGCTGATGTATCAAGCTGCACACTGCAGAGCATTTTATTTTATACTATATTTTCAATATATAGACACATTAATATAGTAATATATGTACATGTATAAGGCATTTTACAGCATGCACACTATTTTTGACATTTCAGGGACACAGTATGGGGAGTTTTAACAGGACAGGGAAGTGATAATCTGACGGGTTTGGTGATGCATGAAGTAAAGGAGATTGAGACATGGATCTTGCGATTGTTAAGTGCACCTGTACCAGTGCCTGGCAAGACGAGAGTAGAGGTTATTATTGTATTGCATTATTATGATTGTATCATTTCAACCACAGATTAGATTGTTTATTAAATTTTTTTAGCATCACAAAAAAAAAACCCATTAAATAAATATAATGAAGGTATGAATTTTGCTTGAACATGTACTTTGTAAACTTTACTTGAAGTACATACATGAACATATTTGTGATTGTCTCAAGTTATTACCAAATATCTTTTGTAATACTGGTGCTGGAAAAATGATTCAATGCACTGAACTTGACAATTTTGCTAACTAGGCAGAATTAACAGCTAAATGCCTTCAAATTGAAGGTGATTTAGAAATTGGTTACATTAAAATTGTTGCTAAGATGTAACTTTCTGTAAATGAAAATTGTCAAAATGACATCTAATGAGCTACAAAGAAGCTAATAACATTGAAACGAGAACAGAATCAAATTGATTTTGACTAAATCTTTCACTTCAAGTTCTCTTCTAAAGAAAGTGGGATGGACTTTTACTAAAAAAAATTTCACAGTAAATTGCCCTTGTTAAGTGTTATCTTCTTAGAAATGGTTCAGACTCGTTACAGTAATTGACATTTTGTAAAAGATTTTTCCTTCATTTTGAAAATCAATCGCTTGCTTGGGTAACTAGTTTACTTTACAATCTAAATCAGTAAAACATAGTATTGATATATGATTATGTCATTGTAAGCTGAAATCAATGATTATAAGGAAGAACTAGAGATTTTGTTAAGGTGTGTTTTTTTCAAGTCATAGTTGCAATTTTTTTAGCATTTAATCATTGCTAATACTAATAGTACAAAATTAAATACATTCATGTATCAAGAAAGTAACATGTTTGAATGTTTTTGTTTCTGATTGATCCTTTGTTGTGTTGTTGTTCGTTATGTTTTCCTACTTTCTATCATCAGTCATATTCTAATCATTTATTTAAGGCCTGTCCATGATTAAATACAAAATGTGCAATGCCATAAATTTTTAGTTGATTAATTTTTGTTTTCGTTTCAAAAATTTACGTTGTAAAATTTAGGATAGGTAGGGAGGCAAGAAACAGATTTATATTTTGTTTGGTCTAAAGATTACTGAAACCTATAGATAAAAGTCATTTTGTGGTAATGAACTCCATTGTTATTTGTTATTTGTTAACAGTAATAGATTCATTGCTCATGTTGTTACAAGCCCCCTACAGTCACTTTCAAATACTTAAAAAACTCAGCGATTTATTTTTACACTCAACAGCTAGATAAGCACTTTGCTTTTGCCTTTGGGGAAAAGCATCCATAAAAAGTGAGAATTCATACTTTTTTTGGCTTAAATGTGTTAAAATGTAACAAAAGAAACCCATAGGATGTAAAATCTGTTATTATCACAGCTGTTATAAAGGTAGTTTTATAGTGCCTCTGGTTTAAACATTTACATGTTTAACACATTGTGCATTTTAAACAAAATTTATCAAGTCATAAAATTCGTCCTTGACATACGACTTTTCATGCTTTTGCAACATAATGATTAAAAAGATATTTTCATACAATGTATTTGTAAATTAAATCTTTTATACCCAGATTTGTATTTTGAATGATGTCACTGTTTTGTAACCATAAAACTTATAAATGAATCGAAAGTAAAGACAAGTTGTGATATATGCTTGGAGCTATAAATACAAATTGAGGACCATTTTCAGATAATTATAACTCCTTTTTATACCGGAATATACTTTTTTCAATTCTTATATCACTTTGCTTCATTATAAAAGCATCACTCCCACATTCTGAACATGCCATTTGATTTCTATTAAAATGTAAAACCTAGATAAAAAAAAGAAAAATTATTGGCTCCTATAAAGTTTTGTACAAATTGGCTGTAATAAAAATAAATCAAGTTGTATAATTATAAAAAAGACTTTTCCGTTGAGAGTAATTCAAATGAAAATAGCTGTGTGACTTTATTATCCACCTACAATGTACATAAATATCTATATAGCTAGTAAATTAAAGATGTTTGACATTTTTTATAGGGTATATTTATATAGATTGACCTATTTCAAGATGTCAAGATATTAATTTTTTGTTGAGTGCATATGATTCAACACAACTGAATTTTAAAATATATATAATCAAATACAACTACATGTATTTCTTACTATCAGATTGAATAAAGAGTAAATCAAGTTATGAACCAGTTCAACCTTGTACAACATTTACTTTAATTGGTTAATGATATGTACAAAAAAGTAAAGGTACATTTTTGTACATGAATATTATAATGGATGAACAAAATTATTTGATTCTTCATGCAAAGGAACGTTTAATTTTTGTATTAAAGGGGCACTAGCTACAAGATATATAAAAAATCTAAAATATGATTTATTTTGTTCAATCATTAATGAAAGTGAAATAATTATTCGCTTTTAGAAGCCAGTATGGTTCAATTTTGTCAAAATAAGCTAAGAAACATTGATGATGAATTATTCACTTGCAAGTGAATAATTCAACCTCATTGAATCCGTATTCATGTGAACTTCAATTTAACCCCTTAGCTAAAGATGGATAACGCATGAATTGTGCGTGTGAAGTTATTTAAAGGAAAAGAATGTCAACATTGAAAGTGAAACAAAGGTTAAACATTTGATTGACTGATTCGATCCACAAAAAAATCATTCTTATACAGGTAAAAAAGATGATAAACATATATTTTTAATCTATAATATGAAATTAAACAGACCTAGAAAATTCCAATTGCACGAGTTCGCTTAATCTATTTATATCTTTATTTATGTTTACATCGCTAATATGGTGATCGGAGGTCTTCGGTGGTCAACTCGATAGTTAATTAGATGGCGTCTAGACTTAGATACACATGAAGCGAAGATACACATTATCGAGCCCATGCCCTGTAAATTGTTTATTTTAGACTTTTGATAGTTTGGATAAATGTTTTACATTGTTATAAATCAAATATGAGAATTTGAGTCAAATCGGTGAACACGAATTTGACAGCTAGTGCCCCTTTAAGGTTTAGATGTACATGATGTACCAATCATTTTTTTCAGTTTTCGGACAAGAACTCAAAAAAGCTTTGAGCTGTTTTCATGAAACTTTGGTGAATTGTTTATATCTATTGAGCTCCTTTTTGATTTTTATAAATTTTAGATTTTTATGTTTCTGAGTTATGGGGTTTTATTTATTAAAAAAGGGGGATTTTCCAGTTTTCGGACAATAACTCAAAAGTTCTTTGAGCAGTTTTCGTGAAACTTTGGTAACTGGTTTATATCTAATAAGAAAACATCCCTCTAGTTTTTTTATAAATTTCTGATATGACATTGAAGAGCTATGGAACTTTATTCTTGTTACAGCGACGGGCGCATCATGCGCTCATGGCGCAGCTCTTGGTTATTTATTATTTTTTAAATCATATCATATTATTGTACATTATACACTGCAGTGCTGTCTCTATTTGTTTTGTTCTGGAAATTCATCTATCCTCTTATTGTGTAAAATGAAATATATTTTCAGATATATGGTAAATGAAAATTTGAAGAAGAAAAAAAACCCATATCTGGGTGTGCTTTATCATGTTTATAAACCAACTCAATACACATACAATAAAAAATAAATCTGAAATCGGAAATATTTGTTGGATTACTTTAAAGAAAAAGTCCAATAATTCATGTATTTATGTTGTTTTTTTTTCAGGTTCAGGTTTTACCCAAAGACTTACAGCCCCCTTTATTGTTTGCCTTGCCAGATCATACCCGGTTTTCACTTATAGACTTCCCCTTACATTTACCATTAGAGCTGTTAGGTGTTGATACATGCCTGAAAGTCCTCACCGCTATCATGTTAGAATATAAGGTAATCACATGTAAAATTATTATTTATGTAGAGAATTAAGAATCACAAGTGTGGTGAACATTTAATTTGTTACTATAAATACTATAGTGAGCTGTATAAAGTGATAATTTTTTGTAATAAGTGCATTTGATATTTGTTGTTCATTATATCATTATATATATATATATATATAGAAGAATTATACTAAAATATAAACCAACTGTAAATACACAATGTTGGTTGTGGATCAGACATATCTTGAAAAAATTATTCACTGTACAAGGGTGTTTTATTCTTTTTGTGACGCGTAAGTCTTCATTATTTGTAGGTTGTGATGCAATCTCGTGATTACAATGCCCTGACAATGAGTGTGATGGCATTTGTCTATATGCTTTATCCATTAGAATATATGTTTCCTGTAATACCATTGTTGCCAACCTGCATGTCGTCAGGAGAACAGGTAAATATTTCTTTTAAGTCTTAATATAGAATATATATACTGTCCTTGTCTTTATTACTTTATTACTTGAATATTTTATGTTATATATGCACACATGCTGAACTTGAATAGTGAAAAAACCTCCAGAAATAGGCCCGTCTTTACAAACAGGACCTACTCTACAGTGTGCAAGAGGTAGTTCGATTAATAACCCATTAGAGTTGAGTTCAGTATTTCAGTCATCTTCACTAGCCAAGGATTACAATCCAGCCCCCTCCTCTTCACCCTCAGCAGGTTAAGACAGAATTTTTGAATACAGCGGTACACCATCTAGTGACATATAGATTTCATGCCTACTCCAACTACATCATTCTATGAGAGCATTTTTACTATTTTTATTTCGGATGTGTAAAATATGACTGCAATCCAGTGTTTACTGCAAATATATGTTAACATTCCAACATTTGCATGAGAATCATACCTAAGAACTTCAATTAGTTGATTGAGAACTTTAGAAGTATCACTAAAAATCCTATTTTTTTGGGTAAAGACTCCTGGCGGAATCTGCACATGGCAATTGTTGATTTACATTTACACATGATCATCTTAAAGGCACTTTTTGAGTTATGCAGCCCGCTACAAATGCAACCAATGGAAATCATTACCTTGTGGATATTTAATTCTGCCTTAATCTAACAACGGTGAAGAAAAGGTGGCCAGTGAATAACCCTTAGCTAGCATGGCTAGCAAAGATGTAAATCAGTGATTTCAAAGAGAAATTTACATTTTCTTCAATGTTCGAATTATTTTTCAGAACTTCATCAAACAAAAATGTATGCTATACATTTAGTTTTTGGTTATAATCTATTTTTGTTTCTGTCTCATTAACATAGTGCATGTACCCTGGATTATTTTTGTCTCGCCTTGATAGAGTCAAAAAGCGAGACATAGGTATGTATGCTGTTTCTGGTGGCGGCAACTGCGGCGGTGGCGTCAACAATGTATTAGTTTGTGATAAGGTCTAATTTATGGTGAACCACAAGTGGTAAGTCAATGATATATGGCAGTTGTATTAGCATTAACACATCTCATTTCCGTAGAGATTATTTGGCCCTGCCCCCTCACTAGTGGTCTATTTACTTTGAAACTTTTGCATAGTTTACATGTATTAGTTTGTGATTAGGTCAGTTTATGGGGAACCACTAGTCGTAGGTCAATGATATTTGGTATGCAGTTGTATAAGCATTGGCATATATCATTTCCATGAAGATTTTTTGGCTCCGCCCCCTTAGTCATAGTCTGTTGACTTTGAAAATTTTGCTAAGTTTACATGTATTAGTTTGTGATTAGTCAGTTCAAGGGGAACCATTAGTGGTAGGCCAATGTTAATTGGTATACAGTTGTACATTGTATAAGCATTAGCACATCTCATTTCTATGGAGAATATTTGACACCGCCCCCTCAGTCATGGTCTATTGACTTTGAAACTTTTGCTTAGTTTACTTAAGGAATGACTGTTATATTTTTTCTGTCTATGAAGAAATAACATCAAAAATGTGGTGCACACTGAATAACCCGCGTAGCGGGTTATTATAAAGTGTGCACCACATTTTTTGTGTTATTTCGAATAGACAGAAAAAATATTACAGTCATTTCTTGTAATTTAATTCTAAATTCCATTTTAAACCGGAGTAAACCATTAAAAAAACGTTGATGACGTCACGGTCACATGACAAAATTATGTCTATGAGCTGATAAAAAAAACAACGTCAGCCAATCAGAAGACGCGTTACGTCCAAAATTAAATTATAAGTATTAGTTTGTGATTAGATCAGTTTAAGATGAACTGCTAATGTTAAGTCAATGATATTTGGTATGCAAATTTATTGTCATTTGCAAGTATCGTTTCCGTGAAGATTATATAGCCCCACCCCCTCATCATGATTCATTGACTTTGAAACTTTTACATAGTTTACAAGTTAATGTTTGTGTTTAGGTTTGTTTAAAGGAAACAACTTATAATGAAACTTTTACATATTTTGCAAGTTAATGTTTGTGTTTAGGTTTGTTTAAAGGGAACAACTTATAAAAAGTTAATGGTATTTGGTATGCAGTTGTATTAGCATTGGCATATCTCATTTCCATGGAGATTGTTTAGCCATGTACCTTCAGTCATGGTTCATTGACTTTGAATATTTGCATAACTTACATGTTAAAGTATTGCTATTTTAATTTCAACATTTGCATTATCAAAATTTCAAAAAGGCGAGACATATCTCTGTGATAACAGTTTATATTGTCATGGTACAAATTTTTGTAAATTGAGGAAAAGCATATTTTATCATGTTCATGGATACTTGATTTTGTGGCTTTCACAAATTTAAATAAAAAACTACAAGAAATGATGTTTTTTCGGTGAACACTGGATCACCTATACCCACAAATCAACAAAAATAAACCTTGTGAATAATAATGAATCCATAATTTCATACCCCACATTTCCTCTATATCTATTGACATTTTGTATATTCTAGCTCTTATATTTACTCATCTTTTATATTTGATTTTAAAAAATATCAATAAAACTATATTTATTATCTATATCCAAAGTCAAATGAGAACATTAAAAAATGTTGACCACTTTACATTTATACATTTATTGTTTTGCAGTGAAAATTTGTTTACATAGATTTATAATGATTTCCCCTTTTTGTACTAGATATTGATGAATTAGCAAAATAATTGATGATATCTTGTGACACATTTGTTGCTGTATTATCATTTTATTTATTTCCAGATGTTCAACAAACTAAATATACATAAATCGTTCAAAAAAGAGGGCATTTTCCTCCTGAACTGCACTTTAAAAGTGAACTTATAAGAACAACTGGCATCTAACAACACAAGAAATCTGTTGGCTTATCAGTGAATATAACTTGAATAAATATTGCATAAAACTCATTACCTCAATGCAAAATGTACCATGAATACACTCTATGTGCCATATAGTTCATTAATCATTTATTTTGGAACACAAATTCCAAAACTCTGCACAAATAATGAATGGGAGCATGTCAATGCAAGGTCAGAACTCTAGAGATAGAAAGGTCAAAATCCTTAATGTTTTTAAACCTGGATTGGCTCCAAATACATGAAATACACCATATCCTTACCTGCAAAAGTAAACCAACCAAAAACCTAATATTTCAATGATCTTTTCCATTGGAATGGGATCCTTTTTCTAGAACAGCTCATGCCATGCAGACATAGCATGTTAATCATAAAAAGATCAATTTAGGTTTTTTTTTGCCAGCTAGATGGTCCTTCAAATTAAAAATGGTTTCTATTATTTTGCTTATCAAGTATGAATCATGTAACATGTTGATAGCAAATTTTCTTTCTAATTAGCTACTGTTATATATATATGCTATCCACTGTAGTTTATATTTGAAGAAATTTGATTACAAATATTGTTGTATTTACAGCTGCTGAGTGCCCCTACACCTTTTATTATTGGAGTTCCTGCCAGTTTTATACCATACAAGAAAGAATTTAAAATCCCAGATGATGTCTGGCTTGTAGATCTGGATTCTAACAAGGTACTGTATACTTGACCTTTTATGTTATCTGCATGTGTACTTATTGTTAACAGGATCTAGTGTATACACCACGTTTAAAAGTAGCATTGAAAGTCGATGATCTGATAAAAGCTCAGGAGTATTAGATTGTGCTATTTACTAAAGTAAGATTGATACTTCTGTGGATTCATAATTACTTGTCGGGTAATAATGTTCATGGAATTTGTAGGAATACGATTACTTTTCAATGCTTGAAAATTTTTACCCATGAAAATAAATGAATCCACAGTAGATTATGTTGTCTGTAATTGATTAAAAAGTGTTTCAATGATGAGTGTTTTAACATTAAGACAAGGAAATGCAAAGTCGAGAAGGGTTCCGAGCATGAAGAAATGCAATAAGTATTTATCCTAATTTTTCATAGAATGAGAGCCATGAAATTGCTACTTTCGGTTTGAGGGCCATGTTTGAATAGTAAAAAATAAAATAAAATCGAATATTGGCCATTTTTTACCAAAATGGCATTCCAAAGACTACTGTCATGATTGTAGCAAGGAATGTTTTCTTTCAATGGTAGCAAATAGAGGATAAAGTTACTCCTGAAGGAGCACCTTTCTGGGAGGGACAAATAACTGTATCTTTCATCATCCCATTGGCCATAGGGTCAATAAAAAGGTCACGAAGTCAGCAAAAACAAATGGTTTTCCATTGGGTATCTTTCTTTCTGGGACATGATCCTGCCCTGTGATCACCTACTTTGAAATTATTATTACCATTATGCTTCAGAAGCTCATTTGCATACTTTTGCAAATAAACGAAAACTTTTATTTATGAAAAACAATGCAGCATGGAAAAGGTTAATAATTCATTTTCATAAGAATGACACAATTCACAAATTTATGATCAATTTCATGGCTTATTATAAACTTATCACTAAAGAAATGAACAGAATGCATATTAGAATACAACAGAAAAATATGTTATGATCCAGCTCATCAGCAAAGTTGTTGCCTTGATAAAACTGCAATATTTAGTGCTTGGATTTCAACTGTTTTCTGACAATCCTAATCAATAAAACCATCACACTTGACATTTATTTTCTCTCCTTCCTCCAATCCCTATCATTAGGAGAGATGATTGCTTTATCAATCACAGCAGGGTGCTCTTGTTCCATTCAGTAATTTGTTACGTCAAAGTGTTTCATTAAGTCGTAATCCAGAAAATTCCATTCTTAGCTTTCCAACTAATGAGTGTTTTTTTCCTGTTATTCTGAGATTTGAAGAAATAATTGCATTGTGTTGTTTTATATGTAGTCTGTTTACTATGAATATTTAATGATGTACCGGTTAAATAATTTTTATAACTTTTCTTGAAAAGTACAATTGATAAGTAAAAGCTGATAGATTTTTGGCTGCAATCGGAAAGCATGAATATTTATACTTATAATTTTGGGCAGTACAAGAGTTCTAAATATGAGGTTTGAGGGTATTTCAATATCAAATTTTACAGAATTTAAGCAATAAAACAAATTGCTTCTATCATTTTAGTCCATTGTTTTGTCGTCTGTTCTTTGGTGTTAGGTCATGTAAGTGCTATATGTAAAGGTAATAGAACGTGATGTTACTGCTATATGTTAACTTTAGGATAGTCTTTTAATTATTTATTTTCTTGGTTTAGCATGTCATTTTATTGGAATGTTTGAATATTATTTGTAACAATCTGTGACATCACAACATTCATGCACTCACCATGTTATTGACGTCAGGCATAAAATCAGTAACCTAATCAATAATGTTAGAAAGTATGGAAATTGACAATATATCCTCAGCTGTGAAGTCAAAAGAAAGCGATTCAGTATAAACTCTAATAGATAATTGTTATTTCTAGTCGAAATCAATACCAGGAATCAGAGCTCCAACCATTGCAAGAGGGATTAATTATTAATTGTAAAAGATTCCTCAGCAAGACAAATGTGAAGTATATGTCTGAAGATGCTTTATCATCATGATTATATTGATGTTTTCTTGTTTGCTTTTGTTTGAAAGTATTTGCAGGCTCAGAATTATCATAAATCATCAATAATTTACCCACAACCCAAACCAGGCTAATATGATTAACATCAGGGTATGAATAATAGGCATCACTCTGTCTGCTTGTCTGTCCAAGTCTTGTCTAGACAAGAATTTTAAAATTACATGAAGGTGATTTAGATACTATAGGTTTATTGCATGCATATTGGTGAATATTGTCTTAAGTAGATTGTTATATTGCATGAAATTGTGAGTGCAATATTTATTGTATGAGGGATAATGTTCTCTAATATTCATGCAATAACCATACTACTGTAAAGCAAACACTGTTAAAATCATATTTTGTCACTGATAATGTCGCTAATTCAAAGCTATATTTGCACTAGTGCAATATGATAGAATATTACAGGCTATCTTTTTTGTTACATTCTGTGGGAAACATTATGTTCCTATTCAATAATAAGTATTGTTTTTGTCTATCACCAGACTAATATGTTGTCTGTAAGTTGGAATGTTTTGTCTGCAAGGACATACAATGGTATTTTGAAGTTTTAATGTGTAGAAGGTGAAACCGTTCCTGCTCCAGTGGGGTCCATAGGTGGCAAGTTGCAAGGCTAAATTTCTGTCCCAGTGGCAGTCAAAATTTTCACCTTACATCTTGGCCAACACTTATTACAAGACCTACCTTTTGTATGTATTGTTTATTTTTTCCTGTCCTGAACATACATGAAAATGAAATATTTGCAACTGGTCATTAAGCAAACAACAATCAATCAATCCTACTCCAGTCGTTGTATTGCTCATTAAAAATGAATACTTGGTGATAAAGTGAAATTGAGTGACCCGTTATGAATGAAATAGGAAAACAGGATTGAATGTTTCTATGACAAAGTAAACATATCCCTGGTCAACATATAGTAGATTCAACAAGTCAGGTCTCCACACCATATGTTGAGGTCTAAAACCTCCCCAAGTTGAAGCAAGATGTGAATAAACTAATAAATTTAACTACCAAAGATCTACCAGATTTAGTTAAATATGCAGTAAATGCAGTAACTATGATTAATTAAAAAATCAGGATTAAGTACTGACCATGATGACATTATTAGAAATTAAAGGGAAAAGATTATTAGCTATTTGGTATTAAAATAATTTCTGTAAGATGCAAAACATTTCTTTTTTTCAAAAAAGAAACAATACTTTTATTAGTGGAAAAATGGTTACCAGTCAAGTCATTCAGAATAAAACAAATTCAATTTCTTATCAACATGATCAAGAATAATATGATATAATTCTATAACAGGCTGGCCAGTTCTTTTACATAGAGCATAAATGACACATTCTCATGATAATGATAAGAAAGTTCCTAATGTTATGTCGACAGTGAATTGAGATAAAGTTTAAGTGTAGGTTTTTAATCTTGTCAAGTGGAACATAGTCGTATACATCATGTATACAGTAAATTCAGACATTTTTGCAAACATTTATTGTTGCGATTGTTGATTGTTAAATAATCAACAACAAATGATATTAGTTATTGCGATTTCAGGAAATACTAAATACAATAATTTTATAAAAAATGTTAAAATGCAAGGTTTTGTTTGCGAAAAATATCCTGTGGGAAAGTTTCGTAATAATAAAAAAATTGCAAAAGTTTTTGAATTTACAGTTATAGTTGTACATGAATTAGTTAATTTGAATTGGCCTTTTCTGGTAATTCTTGTATAAAATGTATATTGATTAATACTGTGCAAAAGTGAGCAATCAATTCTGTGGGAATAGTCCCAATTAGTATTCAGGCGCCATGAACGCGGTAATTACTGCACTGAATGATTTATCTTCCTGTATAATATGAATGATTTCTACCAAACCTTCTATCCTCCCAGGCCTTCAGTCTATTGATTGATGAGTTTTAATTAGGCCAAGACGTGCTATAATCTATAAGCTTTCTTAATGTGGATTGAGGCTGTCGATATTCAAGTCTTTTATTGTAAAAAACAGATATTTGATGGTTCTCAGTTAAAGAAAAATCTATTTTATATAATTATAGACTCTTTTTAGACAATTCATTCTAAGAAATCTGAGCAGACTTCAGAAGTTGCCATTGGATATCAACTAAGTGCAATTGCAGCTATCAGGCATTGATAAAGTAGATGTGACTAAAGTACAAATACATTTGTAACAAATTACTTATTAAAGTCTTGCACAAGTACAAATATTTTAAGAATTCCTATTTCATAGAAAGAAAGAAATATTAGTCCTTTTATGTATATGGTTATAAAATTTCTCTTGCATCTCAATCCAGAGTAATATTTTTTTTTTATCAAAATGCAATTTTTATACGACCGCAAAATATTGGTATGACGTTGGCGTCGTCGTCTGGCGTCGTCCAAAGACACATTGGTTTTCGCACTCTAACTTTAGTTTAAGTGAATGGATCTCTATGAAATTTTACCATAAGGTTCAAAACCACAAAAGGAAGGTTGGGATTGATTTTGGGGGTTATGGTACCAACAGTTAAGGAATGAGGGGCCAAAAAGGGGCCAAAAATAAGCATTTTAGTAACTTCCAGACATAACTTGTGTGTTAGTGTATGGATCTCTCTGACATTGTACCACAAGGTTCCATATCACACAGGAAATGCTGGGATTGATTTTGGGGGTAATTGCCTCAAAATATTAGGAATTATGGGCCAAAAAAGGGGCAAAAAAACAAGCATTTTTCTAGTTTCATGACAATTACTTGTGTGTAAGTGTATGGATCTTTCTGAAATTGTACTACAAGGTTCCATATCACAAAGGGAAAGCTGGAATTGAGTTTGGGGGTAATTGCCCAAAACGTTTAGGAATAAGGGGCCAAAAAGGGGCCAAAAATAAGCATTTTTCTAGTTTCCAGACAATAACTTGTGTTCAAGTGTATGGATCTCTCTGAAATTGTACTGCAAGGCACCATACCACAAAGGGAAGGCTGGGATTGAGTTTGGGGGTGATG